TCCGACCCGGACAATTTTAGGGGTCTACAATGATATATGAGTAACTATGACAAGCGAAATGATGAGTCAATGGAGTGTAAGTGTGTGACATGCATCATGTGCATCTATATGACGGGTACAATGTGGAGTACACCGTTAGGGAAGACCCTCCTTATGTAAAAGCTTGGAGGAGTCCTAGAGGATAGTGCAGTTTGGATGTCTCGATTCTGTCCGTTTGTGAGCACGAGACGTAACTTGCGTAGCTTCACTATCCCAACCAGATCCTAGCAATACATCCTTCTAGTTGAGAGTGTATGGGTAGCTCCCTACATGTACTCCTAGACTACCTTAGGTGTGTTACTTAGGCAGCACACCAGTGATATGTGATATGTGACTGGCTCCACATGCATGCATTTGTGAGTTGAGTCCATGGTATCATTGCATAATGAGTGACTGTGTATGTGCTACTAATGTATGTATGACTTGAGTTGTGCTTGATTAATGTGTGCTTTGTGTTGTGCTTTCTTATGATTTGTGTGTGTTGCCTGACCGTTATTTTTACACCTTAACTTGAGTGAGATGTTTCTCACTCCCATGTTTGTTCTATGTGTGTCTTCTACTATGTTGCAAATGACCATCAACATGAGGATGTTGGTGATGAAGCTTAGGCTTCAATTGGGCGCGCTATGATAGAATATGTGATATCGGGGCATAGTTAGGCTTAGTTTAGGATTTCATTATTGTTATTTTGTTTTGAGAAAACTCATGTTTCATTTTCTTGTAAATTTCGCATTCGACCATGATATACGTTTACGAATGTGAATTCTCTACTCTTATGTTAGTGGAACCATTATTTTAATTCAAGTGATTTTATTTACTTTGAGAATATGTTTTTATAATAATTATTGTATATGTATGTTGGGGTAGAGGGTGTCACATTTAGTGGTATCAGAGTCTGGTTGATTCAAACCAAATCTGTGTGTTATGTGTTTATCATGATTCTGTTGTGTACTCTAACAGTGTTTTGCTTGTTGTGTACTTTGATGTTGTTTTTCTTGGTGATGCTGATAATGATGATATTTCCTTGTGTTGTTAGCGTTGTTTTTTATTGTGTGTTGAGTTCTCAAAATTTGGCTACTAGACATGATATGCTTAGTTGATGCTATTTGTATTACTTTTCTTTATTCTCATGATTTCTTATTTGTTTTGATACTACTTGGTTACGTAAGAAGTAGTAGTTGGGTCGTATCGCTTGTGTTGCGAGCACATGTGCAAGTAGTAGTGGACGATGCTCCGTCCTAATCAACTAGAAACTATTGGAACCTTAGATGTGGGTGAGACATTGATTTGTCGAGTGTATTAAGGGCTTATGGTTGATGGACTTTCCAAAATCTATATTTGTGAAAATGAATTCAAAGAAGTTGTATGTTGAAAAGTAGGATTTTGGGAATTCTTGATGAGAGATTGAAATGTTAGTGTTTCTTTCAATTTTGATGCTTGCATGTTAACCTTTTTATGATTTGGGTTGTAGTTTAGTTTTGAGTCTTTTCTGTTAAATATATGAGTTGTTTTGGTTTAGGATTGTGGTGGGAAACTTGGATATGAGTTTGGAATGGAAAAGAATAAGTTTGGCAGTGTTATAAGGTATTTTCGTGGTCTTGGACTTTGCTGCACTCTTTTGCTGTCTGGTGTAGGGGATGTTTTCGTTGCATTTTTTTCGTGCCAGTACAAGTGCTATATTGACAGAATTAGCTTTTGTGGTCTTCATTAAAGTTGTAGCATTGGATGTTATCTTTCCAATGGCACTAGAATTAGGTAAAACTGAGGTCTATAACTCTAGTTATAGTTGTTTTAGTGATCAAAGGTCTAGCTGTTAGCGTTGATTATATCTGTTACGATTTTTGAAATTTTTAGCTAAGTAGATGATATTTTTATAATTTTATGTCTTCATAAGAGTTGTATATTATTATCTTAGATTTCTTTCGAGATATGTTTGAGCTTATTTGGATGAGTACAACTCTCTATATCTTAATTTTCTTTAACAGTTGTTGAAAGCAGATGTATGTTGTCATGGTGTTTTTTGAGTTGTTAGGCAATTCAAGGATGAAAACTGATTTTGTTATGATGTTCTAAAGAGTTATCATGTGGATTGAAAGGTTGTTTAAGGTTGTATGATGCTATGTGTTAAAGTTGGTTCATGTACATGTTTTATGGTGTAAATGGTGATTGATTCATATATGCTTTGGGATGGTATATATGAATGTTTAAAATAGGTGTTCTAATAGGATAGATGACCTTATGGAACGATTAGTGGATGTTTTTTTTTTAGTAAGATTGACCTTAGGGTGTGATATCATCATATTGGAATTGAGGGTTAGGATATATCCGAGACAAATTTATGCTAAGTTATCTAAGTATGATTTTTGATTGTATGAGATGAGTTTTCTAGGTCCTATAATTTCTAGAGGAGGTATAAAGTAGATCTATCTAAGGTAGAAACTATGCTTAAGTAGTAGATACCAAAGTCAATTAGTGAGGCTAGTAGTTTTCTTGGGTTATCTGATTATTACAAGAGATTTATCGAGGGAATTTCTAAGATAACATTACCTTTTGACTGGATTGGCAAGGAAGATAGTTGCCCTTGTGTGGGATAATAAGTTTAAGATTAGTTTTTAAACTCTTAAGGAAAGATTGACTAATGCACCAGTGTTTGTATTGCCTGATCTTAGTAAGTCTTTTGTGGTATATTATGATGCTTCTAATATGAGTTTGGGTGGAATGTTGATGCAAGACGGAAAGGTAGTAGCTTATGTTTCTAGGCGATTGAAAATTCATGAGAGGAATTACCTTACCCATGGCCTTGAGTTAGCAGTTGTAATATTTGCACTAAGATTTGGAGACACTACCTGTATGGTTCTAAGCTTGAGGTATTTAGTGATCATAAGAGCCTTAAATATTTGTTTGACCTGAAGGTGTTGAATATGAGACAAAAGAGATAGTTGGAATTTCTTATGGACTAGGATTTCAATCTTAGTTGTTATCTACGTAAAGCCAATGTGGTGGGTGATGCTTTGAGTGGGAAACCTCTACATTTATCTCCCCTTATGATTAGAGAGATGGATCCTTTGGCTCAAATTAGGGATTTAAGTTTGGCTTATAAGGTTACCCTAGTAGTGTTAGACTAGGTATGACTTGAGTAACTAGTGAGTTTTCGAAGGAAATTGGAGAAGCACAATTAGATGATTCATTTTTGGTGGCAAAACGTGAGGCTATAGAACAAGATAGTGGAGGGAAATTTACTTTAGGTATAGATGGAGTGGTAAGACTTAGAGACCGAGTATGCGTACCTAGTGAGCCTACGCTTAGGCGCTTGATCCCTAGACATGGTCATAGAAGTAAAAGCAATATAGTAGAAGATGCCTTGAGTAGAAAGACCTTTCACCCATCATCTTGGATGATTTAAGGGTTGGATATGATAGA